TTGGGCGATGGAATAACCGAAGGATTGCTGGAAGGAATAGAAGGTTGTGGACTGGGAGGAGAGGGCGTTAGTCGATCGACTCTATCATCCCATTCTGGAAACTGAGAACAGGGTTGATGAGACAGAAGTCTGTCATCATCTGAGGGAGATCCAACCAAAATTGTGGTTGTGGTGGGATGTCTGTAGGCTTACAATGTTTAGCTTGTTTAGGCTCCAGAGCTGGAGCAGCTTCAATAGGTCTCTGACATTTAGAGGTTGTTTTTGAAGTCAAGGACTTCGGTATCGAGGGTTTCGATTTGGGTGTCTTCGAAGTCTTAGACGATGCAGATGGAGAATTGGAATGAGCTGGTGTAGCCGATGGATGTTGTTTCGATGATACAGTAATGGCTTTTTCCATTGCTTTGGTTTGGGAAGTGGCCCTACAGCAGGGGTGGGCAAAATGTGGCCCTCCAGATGTTGTAGAACTGCACCTCCCATAATTCCAGCCCACACAACCAAGGAGAGTTGGGCCTCGCCCACACAGCCAATAGTGACGAGAGTTGGGCCTAGCCCACATGTTGCAGTTCAGCAACATCTGGAGGGCCACATTTTGCTCAGGTCTGCCCTACAGGGAGGGTGGGCCATTTGAATTGGTTGTAAACATTGTTCCCAAAAGTTGGAGTAGCCTGAAGAAGTAAGATTGAAGAACTCCGCACTTTGCTGCAGCCAGAGGCCAAGTGAAGGGAAAGGAAAAATCTCTGATGATAAAGAGTTTGATCTAATAGTTTAAAAGAAAAAGATTGATAACAGGAGAGAATCAAGAATAAGCTCTCTTTCTCTTTTACTCACAGAAGCAGAGTTATGAGGCTCTCAATGTGGCGGTTGAAAGAAAACTGAAAGGGGACGCTTGGCACCAAGGTACTTATACAGGAGGGGGGCATATTCTAAGAGTTCATTGCTACCACAGAAGCTCTAGAATCTTCTGATAAGGCTTCGCGCCAGCACGAATCACCCAGGGTGTGATTCACAGAGGCCACAAAGAAGAATTAAATGGTATCCAGAGCACCTTCGTTCTCAGATTTTGTTGCGTTCCAAATAAATGTCTAGTCCTTTAGACGAATAAACCAACATATTCAAGAACAGTACATACATTTAGGCTACTGCCTTTTTGTTGGGTGCAAAGTGATTACTGGGAAGAATTCAGTAATGCTACTGAGTTGCTTCCCAAGTGGAGAGTTTCATGCCAGCAACTTTGTATTTCAAATCACAAACCATTTAAGGCAAAACACCTCACTTTTAACCAAATCAAAGCAGCTTGAGTAGTTAAAAGAATACAGAGAGAGAATTAAAGGCCTGATTCACTGCCATCCAAACAATGGTTTTAACAAGAATGGTATTGGTGAGGACTGTAAAAGTTGAATGCAACAGGACTGTAAAAGTTGAATGCAAGAGTTTAAAATAGTGTTAATATCTATCCCTAGCAGCAACTGTGGGGCACTTCATTTATGCAGTTAATAGGCAAACATTTAGGCAGAGAATGTCCCCATGTGCGCAGGACCATCTTGTTTGTAGTAAAATATTCCATGCCTGCATAGGGATTCCCCACTACAGGAGTGGAGAACTCCTTCCCATGCTCATGGAAGCCAAACAGAGGTCCCCATGTCTCTCTCTTTCTATCCACTTCCTCACACACCAAAATAGACACAGCCATTATATGCAGTGATTAATAACCCTCTTAATTATTACAATCTTGCATATCTCAGTGGGCACATTTGGTCTTCATGCCTAAATCCTGCTTCCGTAGTGATCAGCAACAAAAAAAGCTCTGCCTGCCTGCTAAGAATGCCACAAAGGTAAGAAGCTGTCTTCTAACATATCAGATCATTGGGCCATCACTGTCTACATTGACAGGCGCTCCAGGGTTTCAGAATGGAGTCTTTCCCAGATCTGTCTTGAAATGTTAGGTTTGAAGTTGGGACCCTTTTCTGTATGCTAAGCAAACTACACTACCACTCACCTTTTGTTCAGGAAATGTATCTTGAGCCAGAAAGGTTCAGCAGGGCATCATTATATCCAGGGAGGGTGCATACCTCCAAGACTTTTAATCAGTTGCTCATTAACAGGTGAGAACTAAGTGAAAAAGTACATTCCTGGAAGTCATACATACCTCCTTTATAATTATACTGTGATTCCTGCATATTAAAAGCTACTTTAGGTGGCAGGATTTCATTGTTCTTTGCAGAATGAACTCGGAAAGCTTCCTCCTCTGTAGCACACTCACAAAGTGCAAACATCTTTCAATTCATTGGATGCTCCAGTGGCAAGTTAAATAAAATCCAGATTGTATCTCCTGATCCATATATTAGTACTCTGGATATTCGTCAGATTTCACAGGTGCCTTTCACAATTTCAGGAGCCTTCCAGTAACCTTGCCCCAACACTGTCTGCTTTTCAATGGGCAGTAAAAACAGTTTCACTGCAGTACGTTTTTATAAAGTAAGTACCTATTTTAGGGTGGGGTTTTGGTTTGTTCAGTCCTTTTTGGAGTGTGATGTGTTTTTTCCCCCTAATATTTGTTGTTTTTTATTGGGTTTTTTTAAAAAAAATAGTTATAGATCACCCAGGGTAATGGAAGATTACCCATGCTCAAGTCAACATTGTAAAACAGCATTCATTTCAACTCTGACTGCATTGTAGTTTTAAAACTGAAACGGAAAATTGTCAAATATTTCATGTAATATATCATACATTTAAAATTTTACTACTAAGGCTTCAGTTTTACACTGCAGATGCTTATCTGGGAATATGTCCAGCTATCACAGCAAGGTTCATTTTTCAGTTGGAATGGCCAGGAATGTGCAGATAAACTTAGGTTTATGTGCACTAGACACAATACAAATATTCTGTAGCGTCAGATGCATCACATGCTTTGTTGTTTAGACTGTCAAACCAAAGTGGGGCATTTTTCTGAAAGCTGAATTCTCTGTGTGTGTGTGTATACATACATACATCTCTGTGTGTCTGCATATATACACAGTGTATGTATACAGAGAAAGAAAGAGAATTCATGTTACAGAGAGAATCTTAGGTTTATGTGCCTTGGATGCAAGTCAGTTTTAAAAAACACAAATGTAATATGTAACCTAGTGTAAGACAAACCCTGTGTTCCCTAATCATGAACTCATCTCATTATTATCTTTTTATACTGGTAACTTGAGGCCTCTTGATCAGCTCAACTTAGTGGCTAAAGCCATTGTCTTTTTACCTCTCTTCCTGAATGTAACTAATTTCCCACTAAATGTCTCATATGAATTTCAAAATGAACATGTGTTACCATTTTGACATCTAGTAACGCATTTCATTTTTACTGGCTTTACACTCTTGTGAAAAGGAGGTGGTGTACTAAAATGCACAGCTAATAATGAAATGTAATTTCCCACTGTACTACTGTGTTAAGAATTGCTCACAAAGTTATACTCAATATTTATCCAGTTTGGTGTAAATATGTTGTATGACCTTGCCCTTCTGCTTTCAGTTTTGAAACTGGCAAAATGCCTGACATTACAATCAATAAGACGTCTGGAGCAGATGAGGAAGGATGCAGCCCACCTCTATGTCCCTCACGGGGGGGAGGGCAGTGCAATTTAATGCCAGGCAGCCGACCTGTGCCTTCCTCAATTACGCTACTGTTTACATCCAGTTATTTTTTTCCCCATGGATATAAATGAAAACCATTCACATTTATGGGAAATATAAAGTGCTCCACTCAGATATCCTACAACAAGGAGAAAACCTGACCTCAGGACAACAATGGGCTTCAATGGGGACAAGCAAAAGCTGCAGTCTGCACATGCCATCTAGAGGCTGACAGGCCACAGAGCACCACAGGTATAAAGTGCTCCACTCAGATATCCTACAACAAGGAGAAAACCTGACCTCAGGACAACAATGGGCTTCAATGGGGACAAGCAAAAGCTGCAGTCTGCACATGCCATCTAGAGGCTGACAGGCCGCAGAGCACCACAGGTGTCCTCTAGCCCACATCTAGGATCTGGACCTAAGAGCATTTGACAGAAATAGATGAAATGCAGGTTAAGAACCACTGCTCTAGCCCACATCTACGATCTGGACCTAAGAGCATTTGACAGGAATAGATGAAATGCAGCTATTTCGTTTCACAAACCGTACTATTCTACTGCACTTTTATTTGGAACCCCTGAAATATGTGTATGTATGAATTACTTTAGGAAAGGAGTCTGTAGGAGGTGACTTTTTCTCTCCCGAGGGATACTCCCACAACTATTACATTTTTATCCTGTCCAAAATTCTTAAGATTGTGTGCAAATTGTCAGTGTGTCTGACCAGTAAATGACTACTTTTTCTCAGGTATTTTCCCCTCATATCCGGTTTATGTTACAATTCCAAAGGGTCTTTTGGACTCTACAGCTACTTAGTGGGATATAACGACTATCGGTAATCAGGACTGGGGCAAGTTAAAGTGTTTAGAGTGAGAGTAAATGAGCTAACGGGGCAGGGAACACAATTTTAATTGTTTTACCAATAGTGAAATTTCATATTAGGGAGGTAACAGAGCACCTTAAACAACATGTAAGATTCATGATCACTTGGTTCTCCGATTAAAATTTGGAGGGGAGGGATACTAATCCTCTTTGCAGGTGGAAATTTGGGACAAAATAGCTTTGCAATATTGTTGTAAGCAACTTTCTACCAGGAAGAGTTATGGACTGCCTTTAAATTTAGTGTTTGTGTCTTTAAATTTAGTTACTGCAAAACTGATCTGCTTCATTCAATTACACTAATTTATACTCATTTCCTTTCCCCATTCCTCAACTTTGTTCTATTTTATTTTTGTCAGTACCAAGCAGCCTGCAATCATTTCCTGTCAAACATGTAGATAGTTCTGTAACAAAGCTGAAAACCAATTTTAAAAGAAAAAAAATGCTGAATAGTGAAAACCTGAATTTCAGACTTAAGCAAAGATCACAAATTACACAGGCAAAATAAGTCACAAATGTCCATATTTTTTCAGGCAGTACTGGTAGATACTGATTTCACTATTTAAAAAACCCGCTATCTATAAACAGAAGTTTACAAATAGGTAAATATAGCTAATCCAGAAAGTCATCTTAATAGGCATTCTAGGCTGTGCAGTATTTAATGGTACCCAAAGCAAAGCAGTTCTCAGTTTACAGCAGTGCTAAAAAGCAATCTCCAATAGCTGAAGAGAAATCTACAAGCAGCATTCATACTAGCCATCTTACTATCCGATTCCCACAGATACACAATAATTGGGAAAGTTTTTAAAGCTTAAAAACTTGGATCATCTATTAAACAAATTTGGGTGAATATAGACATTATAAGCACAACTGCATTATAACACTCAGCCAACGCATTTACCAAAAATAGAGAGGGCTTTGGAACTTACTTGTGTTACCCATTTAATTGACCAATTGCTTAATTTAATTTTGGCAGCACTGGTATTGAAACTTGAATTAAAGGGAAAAGAAAATGTCACAACAGAACAAGTACATTCTATCGCATTTTATAGCAATATAATCCTCCAAACATGTCTGTATCTTACTTAGATGGGAAAAATAAATCTCCTACTAAAGAATGCCCAAACTACTGTTAGGAAAAGAGACCACAGAAAATCAACTATCAGCTTTCTGCTATAGATTGTCTGACTTTATGGGACCAAACCCATAAAAGGCAACCAGAATAATGCCTGCACAGCTTGATTAAGTGGGGGAAATGCTCTTTTAAAAAAGTGAAATAGCTTCTTTCACGGAGGCACTGATGTGGGGTAAACACCATTCATTTAAATGCATTAGTGCTAGGCAAGTAGAGATGTATGGCTGTCACTGAATTGTATCCACTGTCAATCCCAACTAAAGTAGATGCACCAGAACTTACACAACTGATGACTAGTAAGTCCCATTCAATTCAAATGAGCCTATTTTAGTTGACACTAACATAAGACTTAGCCCAGTATGTTCAGACATAATACTGTGCGCCTGGCAAGGAATTTTGGAGGACAGCATTGAAGCAAGGATCAGCTGTGCATAAACCACATTGCTTCTTGAACTGGCATACCTTTCATAGTCATTCCCCAGTACAGCTTATTAAAGGGCCATATTTACAGGGCAGCCAAGTGCTAACCCCAGCTTGAGATATTTGACCTTTCACCTCTTCCTTCATTTATATAAGAAATAGGTCATTTCAATTAACAGATCTTCCCAACATCAGGACAGCATGTGCAGAAGGAGCCAGTGATGAGAACTGGTCCTCCTGGTAAACATTCCCTCACCCAACCTTGTACAGTATCATTAGGGGTAGGATTTACTGAACTACAAACACCATAATCCTCCATTTTGAGAGTCCTATCTACCTTAAACACATCTTATAAATACCTGAATGTGAGGCACCTGGGAGAAATGTCTGAATTAATTGGCTTTGAAGCTCAGCTAGGCTAACCTCTGCCCGAGCTTCCTAATCAGAAAGAAATCTCCCAGCTAGCAGTAGGGCAGTAAAAGGGAACTTGGGAGGACCTTGGGCTAGCTAAGCCTTAAAGCCTTCTCCCAGACACCTCACATTCAAGCATTTGATTAGTGCCTGAAAGACAGGGAAAGCTCCCAGAATGGAGAATTATGGTATTTGTAGTCCAGAAAATCCAAACATCCCATCTCTAAATATAAATGCTCCAAGTCAGCAGCATTCCAAAGGGGGAAAGGGACCCAAGTGGCAGAGGACCGGCACTGTCTTTGTCCTTGAAAAGCCTTCAATACGAAGGAGGCAGAAAACATAAATTTAAAAAATACAGGAAAATGTAGCAAATTAGAGAGCAATAAAAACGAAAGTGCCCCCTCATAACATAGCATGGAGGCAGGGCATCGATTCATTCTTTTTTCACTAGCTGTACCATCCCATCTGGGGTACGGCTGATAAACTCTGGCCCTTAATTTGCTAGTTAGCTCCTTGGGAGTTTCCAGTTAAAAAAGACTATTACCTTTAGGCGCTAAAAGTACAGCACGGGTTAAACTGTTCAATGCCTTTAGGGACATATTACCTGTACTGGTTACACATCTGCAGAAAACAGGCTAAGCATCAAATAGGTCTGAACCAGGCATATGCATCAAAGCATTGGACTCATTTTTGTTCTGGAACCCACTTTCTTTCAGGCATAAAAGATAAGTTCTGGAATCTGCCCCCCTTGAACCCCAGTGCCATTGGTACTGTCTGAAGAGCACTGAAACTGGACAGTTACTTTGCCACACTGAACTTCTGTCATCCCTTCCTGTCCAAAATAGCTGAGTTCATTACCATCCAGAATTACACTAGCTGTGTAAAAGGTATCTGGCTCAATCTGCACTGGGTATTCAAACCACACTGGGAAAGTGTTGCTTGATCCATCTGAGAAATACTTGCTCAAGTTCTGCCCGAGGATAACGCCTTGCCGCTTGAGTTCAATTTTTGCGCTGTATTCTGCTGATCCACAGCTGGAGCCATAAAGCCCAAAACCGGCAATAAAAACTCTCTTATCGACAGCAAACTGGATGCTATCGCAGCGCCCCCTGTAACGCCACTGGTTGCTGCGGTAGGCACAGGACTGAAAGCGATGGCAGCGTTGTGGGACGAGGCCTTTCCGGGTGCTGCTCACAAACTGAAGCTCTGGTTTTTTAGCGGCCGTGTACCAAAGGAAGATATCATTTGTTTCGTTGAGGGTGAGGATCCCAGACTGGGCAGCGCCGTTGGCGAAGTCATCAAGTGCCATCGTAGGGATGCGAATGAGATAGAGAGCCTTCCCCAGGACTTTGCGCTTGTTTTCGATCGTGGCAGGTAATTCTTGCCTCTGACACTCCACTTCAGCCCAACTCAGAGCAGCTTCAAAAACCACAATTTCTTTGGCATTAAGGGTCTCCCTCTGGAGAATGCTTTCCAGCGTCTGAAAATCAATGTCACAGAAACCTTCGGATTTCAAAGCCAGCTCGGCCTGGGCATCAATCACTTCCCAACAGCGCTCTGTCAGGTCAGGCTCCTCAAACAGGCAGCTCTGAGAGAGAAGCACACAAGCGTTTTTCGCACTCAGGCTCGTCTCCAGGAAGTTGACACAGGCTCGGGCAAGATGAGGAACTATGTACTTCTTGGCAGCATAAAGAGTCGCCAGAACAGTATCAGCAGCCAAGTCAATTTCATCACAGTAGATGTATCTGTAATAAACGATACACATGTCATGCTATTATTTAGGAAATAATGAAAAGAAGAAGAAAAAGACACACATATTTTTCTCAACATTGCTACAAGCAGAAGGCTCATACACGATGGAACACTTAATGCATTTCTTAGCTGCTGGTATCACATGCTGAATTTGTTGGGCTGTCAATCAGAGGAAGAATTATGAGCAGATTAATCACGCCCATCTTCTAACAGATCCATTAACATGAACAAATCCTCAAAAATGTACAAGTTAATAAGCAAATGCCACAAGTCACCATCTGGAGGTTATCGTTAATACTTTCTTTTTCATTCTACAATGGTATAACACACTGGTCCAGTTTGTCAGAACTGACATACCATATTTTGTTTAGTCGAACTGTGGAGGGTTTTTTTTTCCTGAACATGACCAGGCCATTAACCATGGTTTGGTGTAGGTCAACAAACCATAAATTGAAACCAGAGTATAAACTTAGCTTACAAATCTCAGCTTAATTTAACCATGCTTTGTCATGACATCTGAACTCACAATCACAATTTAGTTCTGGTTGGTTTCTTTACCCATCTTGGCTAGCTGCTCAGTAACAGAGGGGTGAGCAATTACAAAATGAAACTGCTCCCTAGGCTAATTTCACTGACTTTCCCTAGACTATATCACCAGCACTTTTCCAGAACACACTCTTCATCCTCCCTTCCCTTGTTCAAGTCTTCCCTGGCAGATAGGGCTCTCAAACATCCCCTCATCAACTCTGTGCAGAAAAGAAAATGTAAAAGGAGCTGCAGTCATGGATTTCACCCAATTGCATTTCAACTCCATTTGTGTCTGGCTCTGCAGCAGACAGTACATTTCTGCACACAAACACATTTGGAGTATGCTGGACTTTTTGTAAGGCATATAGCTGAGTATCTGGATGCTTCTCTGGAGACCAAAGTAAGGAACCATTTGCTCGGTGGCCTCTGGGGAATAAATGACAAACATTTATCCTGGCATGTTTAGCTGGATGCTGAGAGATAGCTATTGCTAAAGAGGGAGGGAGATTTTCTTTGGCAGCAATTCTGTAGGTACAAGGTATATGAAATAGATAGTGTCTCCTTTCGTTTTAGTTAGTTGTTGGGGGTGCTAATTAGTTTCCCTTAATTTCATTAAAATCTTATGTGAGAAGTCCTGCAGTGAAAACTTTTCCTCTTCCCAGGATCTTTCTAGAAATGCTTACTAGCCATGCTAGTTAAACTGAACCCCCAATTTCAGCAGTAGTGTATCTCTAAGTACCAGCTGATCTGAGGGAGGGGGTTAGGGGGGTATAGCCTGACACTGTTAAATCCATGTCTGTCACTCTACCAATGCTGTTCAACATCTATATGAGGCCGCTAGCTGGGGTCATCAGGGGGTGTGGAGCGTCGTGTCACCAGTATGCTGATGACACCCAGCTCTACATCTCCTTTTTACTAACTGCAGGTGATGCCGTCCTGCCCCTTCAGCGCTGCCTGGGAACCGTACTGGAATGGATGCAGGAGAATGGCCTGAGGCTGAACCCGGACAAGACAGAAGTTCTGAGGGTGGGGGCCCCCGTGGCAGGGGGCTTGGGTAGCTCTCTCTCATTTGGGGGGGGGCGGCCCTGGCTCTGGCAAGTGGGGTCCGCAGTTTGGGCGTACATTTGGACCCGACGCTCACCATGGAAACGCAGGTGGTGTCAGTTGTCTGTTCCGCCTTTTTTCATCTTTAGCGGATCGCCCGACTGCGGCCCTATCTCAACACGGGGGCGCTTACTACCTTAGTGCACGCGCTCGTAATCTCAAGATTAGACCACTGCAATGCGCTCTACGTAGGACTGCCTTTGAGGTTGACGC